AAAGCACTTCTGCCACTGGGTACAGGTAGTTTTTGCAGATATATAACACAGGTACATTTCTGAAATATTTCTAAATTGAATTTGTACAGTATCAGTTATTTTAGCTGTGTCAAGGAAGGAGAAATTGAACAGCAAAGTGTTCAGTACTTAATTTCCACATTTAATTTTTAAGAAGATAATTATGTAGATTCATATTTTCAAGATGATACAGTACAAAAAACACATTCATGAGTTTTTTTCTGGTTGTTGTATAAGTTAAGCTACCATTTAATCAAAACTCCCTAAAGATTAATAGGTGACTTAAATGTGCTTTTTGAAAAAAAATCTTATATGCTTCTGGAAAACTACAACTGATCATTTTAGATTCTATAACAGAAATATGAGATGTTCATCTTTAAACAATAAACAAAACCAATCCATGAGATTCTTGATCCTATTTATATCAAAAAGATTGTTGACTTGAAGTTTAAAATCTGAAATCTGATATTTAATAATAAAATTTTACTTATTACTTATTAGAAATAAAATGCTTTTGGGCAGTGGTGGCGCACGCCTTTAATCCCAGCACTCGGGAGGCAGAGGCAGGTGGATCTCTGTGAGTTTGAGGCCAGCCTGGTCTACTGAGTGAGTTCCAGGACAGGCTCCAAAGCTACAGAGAAACCCTGTCTCAAAAAGAAAGAAAGAAAAGAAAGAAAGAAAGAAAGAAAGAAAGAAAGAAAGAAAGAAAATGCCTACCAAATCAAGAATACACATGACATTATATAATTTTTTTATGAACTGACCACCACTGGAGGTGGTGCCAACATTCAGTCATATTCTAGCTTACATGGACTTCGTCGTACTCTCTGTACCATTTACAGTAAAAGGAGAACCGTAGTCTCCTGGCAATCAGTGCAGATTACCTTCTGCTACCTAGAGGTTTGTCCTCAACATCCATTCTTCCTAAAGACAAGACATTAAAACAGAGAGCACTAAAATGAGCATACATGGGAGAGACAAGGATACTAAAATGGGCGTGCATGGGAGACACAAGGATGAAGACAGACTTGGATACACACATTTATTTGGAAGACAGTTGATTTTCCTATCTATTTCTATATCTAGTATATAACTTTAAAATAATAATATAAATTGTAAATAAAATAGTATACTATATAGCTCCACAGAGAGATAAACACAAGAATATACACATCCAGATGAAAAACATAAAAAGCAGCAAACTTATTATGACTACAGTGACATTATTTCAAACAAAGAATAGTTCATCATGTATAAAAGCATTTAGCAGTCCAATGTTTGACAAGTCTCCAAATATCAAGTGTTTGTATGTCTGTACCTAGAATATACCTTGACAGTAAAATAGTAAAAATCACTTGAAGGAAAACTGTGTAAAATCAAATTTCAGTTGGACTCCATGTATCTATTCACTAAAACTTTTTTCTGAAATACATAAAAGCATTGATATTTTCTATAAAACTCTAGTGAGAACATCAGTTTGCTCCACGCATATAAAACCAGCAAGTCTTTCTCCACGTTCCCGTGTTCTTCACAGAGTCACTTGCTCACAGTTCTCTCCAATACTCAGCATGGACTGCTTTTTCCTCAAGAGGTTTACTTTCCAGGAACAGTATAAGCTCAAGAAAACAGACTCAACAATTATGCAATAGAATTATGTCATAACAATCTAATTGCACATTATGCTTTGAAAGTAGGTTTGGATGAAGTTCTCAAACACTTTGGTATATGTTCCTCAGGGACTTCTACTACAAGTAACAGAAAAATCTAAGTTCCTTCAATCCCCATTTTGCATTAAAATGGACAAGTCTTTGGTTAAAGGTCCACATTTTGGGCATTTATCATCAATTAAAATGGTCCCCAAACTGCTAAATGGTGCTGTGTCCCGGTTCACAGACCTCATGGAACCTGTTTCTGATGCAGCTGGATGCACTAATGTTCCTCTGCTAACGCTACCGCCAGCTCCAGTCTTTGACTAACAACAGAGAAATCACCAGGGTTTCACTTCTGAGTTTTCTGTCGTAAACTGTACACCAATTTGCAGTTAACTACAGACACTTCCACAGAATGGATTAAGGTTAGAGTGCTAGAGAGCATTCACTTTAGAGTTAGCTTATTCTGACAGGTCAATATTAGGTTGTAGATGAGTCTGCGTTAACTACAGGAAGTTGCCATGTAATGCTTATTGTAAAACCCCAAACCATTCCACGTACAAGAGAAACTGTGGCAAATGTATAAAGCAGCAGATATACAAGGCGAACACCAAATATACTATACTAGCACAAGAAAGCAGCCAGAACAAGGCACCACAAGCAGAGACAGATGCTAGCAGTCAAAGGGTCAGTGCTGCATACAAACATAGCATTTCTTGTCAGTAGCCCAGGCAATAGCCAGAGGGATATAAAATAGCCTTTGCAGCAGCTGGCGTGGACCCCAGGAGTGCTCACCAGCGGGCACAGAGCAGTCACAGACAACAAGAATGGACTTGGTTACTGTAGTGCAAATGTCTAGGACAGAGCCTAGAACTCAGCCCAACACTGAGAAGCAACACTAGAATCTGACAATACTTCCCAAAGCGCTCACTCAATTTGTGCTACATACTATTCTAAGTGACAAAAGGTGCCAAATATTAAGTTCTTGGTAGAACTTCTTCATTTTTCTGTGGGACTCATAAACAGTTTGAGTTCCATTTTAGGAACTAGTATTTTCACATTGTGATCTCTTATCTTTAATTATGCCTATGTATGTATCTATGTGTGGATATATGCATGTGAGTGTTTGTGCCCAAAGAGGCAGGTAGGAGTGAAACTAGAGTCACTGGCAGTTGAGAACCAGTCAGCGTGGGTGCAGGGACTGGAACTCAGGTCCTCTGCACAAGCAGTACACACTCAACTCTTGAGCCGTCTCTCCAGATTCCCTCATGCTGTGATTTATGCTAATGCGTTAAGAATCTTACTGAAAAATTCTCCTAAGATTAAAATAAAATGTTTACCAGGCTAGAAGTTCAGTCCCACATTTCTCTGAGATTTCTATGGAGGCAGTAAGTCTTCAGGCTTTTGGAAAGGTCAAACTAATTTCATTCTTAGTGGTAGAGTAATAAGATTTGATTAAAAAAACATACTTGCAGATTAAATATTTATAGAGTATTAAAAGAATATTATTCTTTGCACTTATTGGCCTCCTTGACTTCCAGGTTAAAAGAATTATTCCTGAAAATAAATTAAATTCACTTGAACCAAATGTTTACCTTATTTGTTTTTCTCTAATCTTTCTCCTTCCTTCTCTTCCCCCAGGACTAAAATGAAAGAATGACCCTTCAGATAAAGGAAAAAGGCAGTTTCTCAGTTGTGGTGGTGTAGGGTGACTGATGGTACAGAGTTTAGACTTGCTTAGTGGCCCATTTCAGCAGAACTAGGCATGCAGAGCAAAACAATGAACTTGCACTTCAGTTTTTCAGTCACCACATTAAGATCAACTTAAAGAACTTTTTGTCAGTTTTTAGTGTTTGATAAAAGTCAAAGTAACTTTGGATAATGGCATACAGCTTATGGGTCAGAACTATCAGTAAATGCCAGGCTGAAGTAATATTTTCCGTTCTGTTCCTTTTACTGATGGGAGTGGTAATGTCATGAGTGTGTTTTCAACAGGATCCTCAAAATGGCTATAATTACCACCAAAATCTCTGTTGTGGAATGTTTGCAGGCATGGCCACTGCTGCACTCGCAAACTTCAGACAGCTTTGGTTATCAACAGGAAATCTACACTAGATTGGAACCATTCATTTTCTGTTGTGGAGGTGGGAGTGGGTTCACAAAACCCTCCGTACCCCCGAGAATTTATAAACAGCTTGCAATTGCTAAAGGAGAGAACTCATGAGGTTACCCATTCTCCAGAATATACGGTCAGTTGAAGGTTGCTGGGGAGGAGGGAAATTCACAAGCATATGTAACAGCTTCCTTCATCTTTACAGCAGGTGCTATGAGGAATAATAATATTGTTACTGTTTTGTTGATGAAGAATCTAAATCAGAGAAATCGGGGGTAGTAGTAGCCAGTTCTTCTATTAGTGGAACAAAATTACCTGAGATGAAAAAATGAAAAAGAAGGGGATTTCTTTCAATGGCTGCTTGACTCTGTTTTTTAGAGATTGTAAAAACACATGATAACAAGATCATGTAGGAAGGGATGCGTATACACTTTCTGGTGGTCAGAAAGCAAGAAACCAGGGTCATGCTTTCAGTGACTTAAAATTTCTAACTAGATCCTACCTCTTAAAGATTTCACCCCTTCCCATTGAGACATTGTCTTCAACATATGAACCTTTGGGGAGCACACTAGATCTATCAGGTTTGAATTATGATGTCAATCTATGGATTTATATGTTTGAAAACTTGGTTCCCAGATGGTGGCATTGCTTTGACGGTTTATATAGGCTTCCTAGGTTTAAGGCTTAACTGCTGAATGTAGATTTGCACAGGTGGAAGTTGAGAGCTCTAAGGGCCAGCTCTGCTTTAAGTCTGTGTTTCTGCTTCCTGGATTGCTAGGACATGATATCATCGTCATCATCATCATCATCGTCATCATCATCATCGTCATCATCATCATCGTCATCATCATCCTTTCCTTAGCCTGATGAATGGCATTCTCTGAACTGTAAGCCCAGGTAAATTCTCCCCCCTCACTTGCTTGTACAGTTACAGCAATGTAAAAGTAACACTGTAGCAAGTTGCTCAATGAGACAATCGGACATTCCAGAGTTGGGGAGTCTTTCTTCTTTGCTACTAGGTTGGCTCATTAACATTCTATTATTTGCTCATTTTCATCCTCTTCTCTGGCTAAATGGTATAGTGCTGAAGCCATTTTCAAATATTTGGGCTCCTTCTGGAAAGTCATAAAAATCCCTGGTCAGTAACTGTCTAGTGTTACTGTCACATCACCAATCAAAATTATTGCAGTCAAAAGGGCAAAACAAAAAACATGCATTACCTTATTCTCTTTTCTTCCACTTTTTTCAAATATTCATCTCTCTTTAGGACTCCCAGGATCATTTCCTTCTCATGGTCTAATAAAAATGACAGATTGATGAACTCTGAGTTCTTAGACATGGTATTTCCGCAGCAGTTCAGTGTGGCAGTGCTTGAATCTTCCAGAAGGCAAATGGATATTTACTATTGTTAAGGTTCTCCCTGGCCAACCCAGAGTCGCAGTGGTTCAGTTAAGAGGGTTTCTATAAGGTCTCCACAGATTTGCTGACAAGTACTGGGTATTCTTTCAGGTTACAGAGAAAGCATGTTATACTGAGATTACAGGCCATGAAAGTCATTGTTTGCACTGAAAAACTAATTTTCTAAAGGCTTTGCTGTGGTACCCAGTCAGCAGCTAAGACTCACTAATGATGCTGAACTTTGATCTCTCAAAAGCTTCAGAACAGGATTCAATTCCTCTGGGCCAAGAATGTAGAAAACACTAAAAAGTTGGAAAAAATAAAGATGAGAAAAGTTAATTAGGCCATATCACACATAGCACCCACTCAGCTATTCAATTTTTGAAATATTGGTGTACCTAGCTTGAGCACAACATTCAAATTAATAAAAATACATAGACCTTGTGTATGTGTGAGAGAGAGAATATGTGTGTTGTGTGTGTGCGTGTGCGTGTGCATGTGTGTGTGCATGTATTTAGTACTACTCACAGTTCTAGGTAGTCACTGGATATGTTGGAACACACTGCCTCCAGGTAGAAGAAACAACCATGCTGAGGAGGAGATGCACTTAAACTACTTGTCTTGACAACATAAGAAGGTCACCAGGCTCTAGATCATGTCCTTAACTTAGTTTTGTACCTGGATTCTCTTTTTATAACCCCCTAAAATTATAATTATTACAGTGTCTGCCAGATTTGGGGATTGCTACCATCCTAAAATACTGTACCTCAGGGTTCCCTCACACCTATGAACTATGAGCTACATAGTTTCCTTGGTTCTTGCCAGGCTTCTAGAAATAACTATATACCTATTCAAAGGCAAGGCTGCTATGGGACAGCCAACTAACCATGGTGTCAAACTGACCTAAAATATACTAGTTGATTCAAGAGAAAAGGATCTTTTTCAGAGCCTCTGTAACTTTTCAAAGCCATTAATGTATTGTACTCGGTGTGCACCAACCAGAACACTGCTGTAATGACTCCAAATTGAAATAATTCCTACAGACCAAGAAGTAGCTCCATTTAAGAAAATGTCCCAGGTCCTTCCAGACTGGATTTACTGGAGGTCTTTTGTCAATCTGCAAGGACTATATTAGACTGCAGAGATTAGAAATGAAGAGGAGGCAGCAAGGTCAAGGACAAGGGAGGCCCTACAGAAAACACAATGCTTGGCATAAGTGCCAGTGTCAGTTGCTGTCTCCCCAGAGAAAGTAAACAATTTGCTTTTTCATGCTTGTGTATCTCATCTGTTTTTAAGCTGAAATGGAAAAAATAATTGGAAATTCAGTGACTTTTAGTCTCGGTTTACTTGCAACATACTTTATTCCTAAAATGTCAAATTTCATATGCCCTACATGCATATTTTACAGAGTGGATTTTTTAAAATATGCAAGAGGTTGGAAATGCTTGAAGTAAATTAATAGTTAAGCATGTCTTGACCTGCAGATAGAAGTCTGCCCTCTTAAAATCAATGAGTTTATACCGTGAGTGAATCAAAGAAGAGAAGGCTGACAAGATGAAATAGTAAAGATGCTTGCTACCAAGCCTGATCATCTGACTTTGATCTCTATGACCTACATGGTGGAAGAATTGAACTGACTCCGGTGAGTTGAACTCTGACCTCTGCATTCACATGCTGCATGCATCCACCCACTCACTCATGCACTCAATAAATAAATAAATAAATACACATAAAAGTTGATAAAGGAAAGGAAGTAAACTATAAAAGTGAGAAAAGAGGGGAATTTAGAGAATTCAACAGAAACAAAATTGAATTGGCAGAAAGTAATTTAAAATATGATCCTTTTGTCTGTATGTGGACTAATATACTAATATATTAGTACCTGGGTTGGCATATAAAATGGTGACCAAAGAGATCATAAGTAGTCAAAATTTCATCAAGAAAGTCAGGCTATTTCTCTGGAAGGCAGGACTGGACAGTGATTATAGTTTAGTAAGAGTATCTTACTGAAGATGCTGAGAAACACAAGGTGAAAGAAAGAAGATGGTGAGTCTTGGCATAGTTAAGGGAGACTAAACTGAGCTGCAACTAGTTTACCTAACTATGTGTCAATTTATAAAACCTTTCTTCAGCGACATTGTAGCTCTGCTTTAGGAATCCTTTACTACCAACGCCCTTTAACAAAGAAAAATGAGAGAGAGAAAATGAGTTATCTATTCTAATCCTTTTTTTTTAAAAACACACTCTGAATACTAGTCAAATTAGAAGGGATAAACTCATTTATACATTATTCTTACTTCCTTTTGTAGCTAGAGCTTTTGGCTTACAAACTTCAAATGTGTTTTCCTCTCTGTGTGGTTAATAGCCTTGATGAACTGGGCTAATTTCTTCTGTTTGGGACATTGGTCACTTTGGACATGTAATTAACTCCAGTATTCTACAAAGATGTTACATCAGTAATTACCACAGCTTCAAATAGACACAGGAGTCTTTTTTTAAGTATCTGTTTCAGACAACACACAGTAGAAAATAACAAGGGCTAATAATGTCTAAGTTAAAAAATAGGTACGTCTGAGTATATGTCATTAAAATCTATTTTATTTGAAAACAATCTCTCTCCTTTCCCCCTCTCCCTCTGTGTATGTATGTGTATATATACATGTATATATTTGTGTGTGTCCTTGGAGGCCATAAGTGAGTGTTATATAGTGATATTTTATTTGTGTTTTAAAATAAAGCCTGCCTGAAGATCAGAGTGTAGAGTGTTCAGTTTGGTAGAGAGTATTGCAGTCTGCAGTCACACTGAGGACAGGATTGCCCCTTTGTTTGTCTGAGCCTTGGTAGAGGTAAGAAGTCCATAGTGGCTTAGCTGCTTTGCTTTTCTGATCTTCAGTTTGAACCTCAATATTTGTCTCTGGGTGTTTATTAGTTATGCTACACCTGGCACCCAATGTTTGGGGTATGAATTCACAAAAGAGCCATTTGCTTATGACTTTGTAGCCACTGGCAGAGGTTGGAGTTACACATGCATGGCTAGAGTCACCACCCTACCGCTAGTTTTTATTTTCTTCTCTCCTGGTGGGCTTTCCCTGAACCCTCTTCTCAGGCTGTTGCCAAACTAAGTAGCTGCCTTGAAATTCAGTCAGGCTTTTACTATTCTACACAGCAGCAATAAGCCTCACATCTTCATCATCATTGGTGGCAAATTTGGTGAGAATATTAGAAATTATTTAAGGGAGGAATTAGTTAAAAGGGAAAGCTTTTTTCCATATTAAAAAATGGGAAACATGAGTATGATGAGAAAGTTGTCTGTATGATTATGCAATGAGTAATTTTAAAATGGAACAACTAAATGAAGGGATAATCATCTTAACTGGGATTGACGTACGGTTAATTATCATTTTGATAATCCTTGTCATTTTGATAATTCTTGGTTTATCTCTTAAAAAGTTGTTTAGTTTGATTGCCAAGATAAAGACCTGAGAAAAACTTAATAAAACAGATCACAGAGATATTTAGATCCAGAAAGAGGAATTTAATGGAGAACCAAATTCAGCATTGCATTATAAGTTAGAGAGGAACATTCTAAGGTTTTCAAACAACCAACCTTATTACATCCAGTAATTTTACAGGAATTGCCAAGTGATAGAGGCTTTGTAAGACCTAATTGGACTCCTGTGCCAATGTTAGATTTAAGGAGATTCAAGGAAGTGATAGTCTCATAAGTCATGCATTTGCTTTTATGAAGCAAATATTCAACTTGTGATCAGTTTGTAATAGCATTATCCCTAAAGACTGGATAGACTTGATTGAAGCTGTTTGAGAGCCCGGACAATTACAATGGAGCATCTGGTTCAAAGAAGAGGCTAAGATTATTGAACAATGGAGTAAAGCCAGAGGTATGGAAATCTCCCAAGATCAAATTCTTGGAAAAGGAGACTATGCTACTATAAAAAGGAAATCTTTGTATAATGACTCTGTACTCACTTATACTGTGCACCAGCTTGGAATGCTTGTCACAGAATTGGAGAAGTAGGAAAGAAAATCAAGTCATTTACTAAAGTTATACAGCCCCCCACAAGGAAGCCTTTACAGATTTTTTTTTAACAAAGATTGACTTCAACACTAAATATAATGATACCAAATTCAGAAGCTAGACAAATAATAGTTGAATCTCTGGCTTTTGAAAATGCTAATTCTCAATGTAAAATAATAATAGGGCCTTTAAGAATAAAGTCAGCACCCTTGGAGGATTGAATCTGAAATACAATCAGTATTGAATCTCATGAGTCATAATGATTCTTAGATAGGAGAGGTGATTTCCAGAGGTCTGAGGAAAAATCGAAATGTCAAGTGTTATAATTGTGGCAAACGATGTTGCCTTAAAAGAGATTGTAGCCAGGCAGTGGTGGTGCATGCATTTAATCCCAGCACTCAGGAGGCAGAGGCAGGTAGGACTCTGTTAGTTAAAGGCCAGCCTGGTCTACAGAGAGTTTTTCAGGACAGGCTACAAAGCTACACAGAAAAACTCTGCCTTAAAAAAAAAAGAATTGTAAGCAGTGCATTCCTAGAAACAATGTTTTTCTTAAGCATAATCCAAGCAGAACACTCTTCCCTTCTTGATTATGAAGAAGGCCTGACAAAGGTAGGTATTAAACTAATAAACACAGATCAAGAAAAGATATTCAAGATAATCATTTGTCATCAGGAAACTCCTTGAGGGGCCTCTTATAGGTCTCTATGACAAATGTGGTTCAGTTATTTCCTGTCATCATGGAGAAAATTCCTTCCCAAAGAAATTAAAAAGCCTATTGTAAGAAACCATACTGCTTTTGATGATGGAATAGCAATAGAAGACAAAACAAAAATTTCAGGAGAAATCCTAAGTCCAAATTGATAAAGATTATATTAGGAACCTCCCCAAAGTTAGGGTTGGGGAAG